TAGAAGTCTTTACTGATGCTGACTGGGCATGAGATATATCCACACGACGATCAACCTCTGGGTATTGCTCGTATGTATGCGGCAATCTAGTGACATGGAGAAGTAAGAAACAATTGGTGGTATCTCGGAGTAGTGCAGAAGCAGAATACAGAGCACTGGCGTTTGGTATCTGTGAAGGAATGTGGATCAAAAGATTTCTCAAGGAGCTTGGAATTATGGGAGAAAATTCTATCAAGATGTTCTGTGACAATCAAGCTGCAATCAGTATCGCAAAGAATTCCGTTCATCATGACCGAACGAAACACATTGATATTGATAGAAACTTCATTTCAGAGAAGGTGGATAATTGAATCATTGAAGTGGTTTATACTCCTTCTAGAGACCAAACCGCAGACATTCTCACCAAGGCTCTCCCTAAGTCCAGTTTTGATGAGCTAACCAACAAGTTGGGCATGTCAAATCTGTACAACCCACCTTGAGGGGGAGTGCGGAATTACACTCATTATTATTTACGTTATTCTATTTAGTACTTGCTATATTTTGTCATGGTATAAAAATGGTAATTCTTTAATTATAGGTATTTATGTTTATTCCATAATTATATGAATTACTTAGTTGTAGGAAGATTTCTTTCATCTTTTTATCTCTTGTACTCGCCTATTTATAGGCGAATTATCTATGTATTCAGTGAGAAAAAAAGGTTATTCAAACAAATTCACACAACCCAAACCATATAACTACAACATTTGTAAATAGGAATTATATTAGAAGACCTCCATGTATTATCGTTAGCATGTTTACTTACCGTTAGTTATTGGCCAACCTAACTTCCATGGTTGCATAAGCACCCTGTTTGAAAAATAATCTGTAGGCGGCTTAATTTTTAACATAAGAATAATGAGAATTGAGACTTATATTGACTTATGCATACCTTTATAAGCTGTAATATTTATGAAATAATTTGTACAATGTTATAAGCATACACGTTTTAGAGCAAAGACATATAAGAAGCATTAAGTATAAGTATCAAATCATACAATCACTCGAAATCATGATTAATTAATTATTATTATTATTATTTAATTTACTTTAAATTTTGAATTTGACTGAAAATTTTAAAACTAAGGAACTCTCTTAGCATGGGAACATCCCTAATTTCATCAAATATTTGATGAATCTTCTCAAATTAATCAATCGTATCAAAATAAGATACCTAAGGATTAAACGTAAGTGCATTTCAATTAAATTTAGGAGGCAATATTTTTTACTAATATAATTATCTATTTAATTACATGAGCTAATATGATAAGTTTCAAATTGCACTAAGTTATGGTTTCCAAATCACTTATACAAGAAATTATGATTCCTTGAAATCAGAGGCATCAATGCGATATCACTTGTGAAACTGCCTCACCTCCATTCCCACTTCTCAAATAGACCTGTCTGGTTAGGTCTATATCCATACCTAGTAAATCCTTTCCTTTTTTTTTTTGAAGTGGTTAACACATAAATGATAAAAATGAGTGTCTACAGATCTTGCATTTCTAGTTAGCCATCCTTGAGATAATAGTGTTATTTCCAACGATATATTTGTGGGTGTATATTGACGATTTTATAGATATAGGTATATATCCTTTTCTTGTTTTATGTGATTTGCATAAGAATCTTGTGGTTCCTATTATAAACATGAAAGTTAGGCCCCACATTGAAAAAAAATCTGATTATTTTGTTCACGAGTTGTTCATTGGCTTAATATTTATACTCGTTCTATTCTTTCGTTTGACATGATCTTTCAGGTGTGGCTATGTTTGCCCCAATTACTAATCCGTATGATCCAAGAATGACAAAGGAAGAGAAAAATAAAATCTGGGAGAAGTGGACAGCAAAAAGGAAGTTCATGTTTTTTATTGCTAAAAGGCTCCCTTCCCTTCTTCCTTACTTCTATCGGCGAAGCTTTCTATCAGGAATGCAGGGTCAGCTGGAAAAGTGGTTATTATTGTCTTTGGGAAAGAAGGTATTTCCATCTTCAGTTGTTGCTTGCTTAAGATTTGAAAAAAGAACAGTACAAAATAATTCAAATACGAAAACTTTGTTAGCTGGGCTACCTTGTCTTTATTGGTTTCCTCCTTTTTTGGTAGCGCTCTATTGGGCCTTTTTATTTTATTTCCAAGTTTAATTTGATTATCTTATTAAAATTTGATTCAACATGGAGACATTATTATAATTCTCTTTTTCTCATATTTTTTAAGTCTGATTGTTGCTTTATTTGCATTGATGCCATGATTTTGGATACTTAAATACTTCACTGGCACCAGACTCATAGAATTTGATTATCTTATTAAAATTTGATTCAACATCGAGACATTACTATAATTCTCTTTTTCTCATATTTTTTAAGTTTGATTGTTGCTTTATTCTCATTGCTGCCATGGTTTTGGATACTTAAATACTTCACTGGCACCAGACTCATAGAATTGTGGCTCATCCTACTGTTTAGAATTTGTGGAACCGATTTAAATTGGGGTTAAAGTGCCAAAATAGTTTCTTGAGATATGTTAGTCCCAGAGTTTATAAAAGTATTAAATTAGTCTCATACTCTTTTAATGTGAGCCAAAAAAGTCCTCATTGGAGACTATTTCAACCCATGTTAAAAGAGTCTAGGGACTAAATTGAGATTTTTATAAACTTTGGGACAAAATTGGCTTCCCACGAAAATTTTGGAGACCATTTTGACACTTTTCTCTTTATATAGACGTCGTACTCACACTCCTTGAAACATAAATTTAGCGTGCTAAAACAATACACTTTGTTCATTTACTTTGATTTACGTTTAAAAAAGGTTCTTTCTTGCTGTATTTAAAGCATTATTTCTATATTTGACCTTATCATTATGCCTGCTATACCTGCAGGACAAGGCTTTAACAGAAGGACACATCTTTATAGAATTTTGGGAAAGGGTTGTAGCAGAATCAGTCAGACAGAATGATCCAAAACCCTTTGTCGAGGAGGCCGTCTTACAAGTATCAAATTGGGGGTTCAGCTTGGCTGACCTTCAATTACGAAAGAAACACGAAGGCAAGAACCTCCTGCTATGGCTAAAGTCCATTTATACTCAAGAAGATGAAGAGTGGACTGGGTTTGTTGGTCCCATACACATCTGGCAGGTATCTTGCTAATATCCCCTCTTATTTATTTATTATTTATTTTTGGGGCATTTATATGTATAACAATTACCACACATTTCCCATGTATTTACATATCTAACACCTAAACTTCAACTTTTTACATTTATGCCACCTGAATCTTTCATATCAGTTAAAAAGTATCACCATTTTAACTTCTAGAAAGTGAAATACACTTTTCATGCATGGTAATGGTACTTATTTTTTATAATTTGCCTCTAGTACCATTTTGCACTGATTAGATGGTCATGTTATTCTGTGTGATTGCGTGTAGGGGTTGCCACCTGATATGATTGGCTTCGATTAGACCTACTATTCTTGCAACAGGGCAGTTGCCCAAATTGTATCCTATTCATATAGCTTTGTTAGTCAACGAATTTGACAATGGTTTCGGGCTTTAGATACCTCCTCAATTGGCAGCAGAAATATTAGAAATAAATTGTTGCCGACTATTTCCCCTTCTTTTTTCTAGAAATCACAGTAGAGGATATACCTTGATTGTTATATTTATTGAGCAGTTATAAGTCGCAAGACTAGCAGCCTGTTTGTAGAAACGTAGATGTCCAAAATGAATTAACAGTTTGCTTTCACTCTAGTCTGCAAACCCCAGGATTATTTTCATGAGCCACATTGGTGTCTTTCTAGTTGATACGGTCCTTTTTATTTTAATTTTATAATATCCTAAATATTTTATTAATTGAAAGTACAAGACAAAGCCAATATATATTAGCAGAAAGGAGTTCGGTTATAGTTCAGGATTACTTAAGTTCAGTTACAGATAGAATTTCTTGTAGAGCTAATGAATTTTCTTGTAGAGCTAGTGAATGCTTCGTTAAGTAAGGTCTTATGTTTTTGTTTTAGGGTTTGATAGAAACTAGAAGAAATAGAAAAAGACAAGGACAGGGAAATAATATTTGGAGGGTTTTTTAAGCTTAAAACTGCTTAGCTTGTCATTCCAAAATGACTTCATTGGCATAACAGACTTGTGAAAATTTGGAAGGATTCCTTGAGGCCGACCGGCCGCCCTTCAAATCTCCTAAATTTGGAATGAGAGATATTTTTGGAAATTTCTTAATTAGCTTTATTCTCTTTCTGTGCATGTTTTTTGTTATTTTTATTGTAGATTAGGAGGGGTTGGTTTCCCTATGTAGTGGTATTTGAGAATACCGCTCCTCATATGTGCTATCTGCCCCCGTATGGGTCGAACTCGGTCAGAGGGGTGTTATGATTGGCAATGCTGCTGCCTACGAACTTGTCACCCAAGGGCGCACACACATACACACACTTAAATAAATAAATAAATAAATAAATAAA